TCTAGATATACATCAATGTTTATGTAGTATGACTTCCCGAGTCATCAATGATCATATTAAAATATGATTTTGATATGTTTTTGAGAAAGACTTTTCAAGAGCAGTTACCTGTTTTAAGAGGGTAGTTTGAGCAATTATCTCAAACCAGAGAAAGAGTTATGTTTTTAAAACATATGAGCTGAATATATTTTGGGAGTAGTATTGAGCACCGATATGCGGACGCGAGTTCATAATAACTCAAGTCTCCATAAACCATGTAGCCATCATGGGTAGAAAGGATCATACTTTTTAGATTACTCCTTAGTGCTTTTTAGCATAGACTAGTGGATCCACATAGTTAAGGCGTCCTATATGACAGCAAAGTATAGGGTAGTTCTGGCAGCGTTGGCAAGATGTTGTATCATCACTTAGGCTCATTGTGGTGGTTGTCGGTTAGAGAAACTCCCACAAAGTTATATTGTAGTTTTATATACACACTGAGTATTATTGTATTTTTCAATACATTGAGTTGCTTTCTACAGTTTTACTGCTTTCCATATATATTGCATCTTTTACTATTGCTTTATCCTTGAGTATCTTGAGTTGAGTACCTTCGAGTTGAGTATCTTGAGATGATTTGTGCTTCATAGTGTCGAGTACCTTATTGTTGAGGTTCATTGAGTTGAGAACCTTATTACTGAATTGAGTATCGTATCCTTGAGTACTTCTAAGTTGAGTAAGTTTGAGTAGTTTTGAGTATCCTTGAATATTCCTTGAGTTGAGTAAGTTTGAAAAGAGGTAAGTATGTTTTATTTTTATCAAGTTCAAGCTTATGTTATGCTTTAGAATTCCCCTTACATGCTCGTACATTGCACGTACTGAGCCATTTGGCCTGCATCCTTTCATGATGCAGATTCAAGTATTCGGGATCATCAACAGAAGTTTCGTTGATACCACAAGGAGTTCGAGTTAGCTATGGTGAACCTCCCTGCTTCCGGAGGATTTCATTTACTTTTCAGTTTTGTTAGGATGTCGTGGGTCTTGTCCCGACTTACATCTTTGTCAGTTAGAGGCTTTATAGATAGATAGTAGAGTTTGAGAAGTCTGGTTCATTTATCTTATTAAATGTATCAAAGACTTAAGTTGCCTATTTTGGGGCGAGTTGAATATATTATATTATTCGGAATTTTCTTTTGAGTTAAAGCTTTGTATTTAAGTTTCATGAATTTTTATTCATTTTTTAAGCTTTTATGCTTGAGTTAGTCTTCCGCTTGTAGTCAGCTAGGATGAGGGTTCGCTTGGGGACCATTAATGGTTCTCGAGTGCCGGCCACGTCCATGGTGTAGGCTCGGGTCGTGACACCAGCAGCCCTCATCACCGAATGACTATGAACAACAACAAATTCCAACACTCAAACCCACCACCACTGCTGCCCTAATATCAACCAAACTTTCCAAGTGATCCCCACCAATTGTCGATGACGATGGAAACTCCAAACTACATTTGGCGCCATCCGGCATTTCAATACCTTACCAATCCTCTGACCCTCTTCAATCAGAACTACATAACCCAGAACACACATCTCTTGTCAGCATTTCCTCAAGCAGTTGAAATCTCTTTTGCAACTATAGAAGGGATAACCAACTTGCCACCAAACCAATTTAATCCGACTTTTCTTCCAACACTAATAGAGGAGAGGCTTACTGGAAGCCTCTTACGACTAGCTGCAATCCAACTGGAACTTGCTCAAAAACTGACAACTTTGGAGTTCTATCACCTTCTCCACTAACTAGCATGGCTCTCCAACTTGAACATGCAGCACCTCCAACTTATACACCAACTCAATTGCTTTGTGAACTTCTCCTTACAACTAATTATGGACATGGAGGGAACAACCTACTACAACAACAAGACCACTCTCAACGAGGAAGAAGACAACATGGAGAACCAGGTTTTACCCCAAATGCCGAATCATTATCCCCTATACATTTGAGAATGAATCACTCAACGAAAGAAGAGGAACCAAACATCCCAGGGAAATACATTCAAGCATTGTATCTAAGGAATTCCCTAACAGTAGATTTGCAACAAAATATAGAAAGGAAATTCCTAGTCAAAGTCCCAAAGGAAATCACAATGATATCCTTGAACATATGCTACTACAACTCCAATGCACCACTAAAATATGTGACACTGATTATTCCAACAATGAAGGACAAACAACCTTTGGAGGAAATGGAAGCAGAATCGAGTAACTCCAGGGTGAACCTGGAGGTGACATTGGCACTAGGAGGGATCCCAACAACATAAGAACAAATATCAATGAAGATACTTCTATGGAACTGTAGAGGCGCCCATAATATAGGTTTTATGTGCGAGCACTTCTAGATTGCAATAATCCTACTGTACTAGCTCTTACTGAAACTAGAATGGAGGACCAAGATACATTACTTCAGGCACTGGATTTCACTGATGTTATTCAAGTCCTAGCAACAGGATATATTCAAGTGGAATTGCTCTTTTTTGGAGGAGCTCATAGATCACAATTGAACCATACGTTCTAACCGAGCAAGAAATTCACTCAACTATTGAGGTAAACTCCAAGACTAAATTTTACTTTTCTATAATGTACGCAAAAAATAAACATAGTTATAGAGATATACTGTGGAATAGTCTAAGAAACATAGCAACTACTATAAATGGACCTTGGCTTGTATGTGGGGATTTCAATGAGGCAACCAATGTTTCCGAAAAATTAGGAGGAAGACTGATTAATAATACTAAATGTTCTTCCTTTATAAGATGCCTAGACGACATGGGAATGATAGATCTTTGTTTTTCGGGCTAAAAATTCACTTGGACCAACAAACATAAAAATAAATCGACTCTCATTATGGAAAGACTTGATAGATTTCTTAATAATCATGAATGGCTAACCTTGTTTCTTGACTCTAATATATACCACCTTCCTCGTACTCACTCGGACCATTGTCCCATCATATTAAATTTCTCTAAAAACTATCGTAAGACTAACAAACTTTTTCGATTTGAAACCATGTGGCTCCGACACCCAGACTTCCCAAACAAAGTCAAAAGCCACTGAACCAAGATGATGACTATGAAAAAAATCTGATAGCTTTCACTAATGCTGCAAAGAAATGGAATAATGAAACTTTCGGGAACATCTTCAAACAAAAGAACGATCTTTTAAAGCACCTTAACGACCTCGAACTTATGAATATCGACCATAAAAAGCCTTTTCATTATGATTTAGAGAATATGCTCACCAACGACTTCAACGAAATCTTTAAAAGGGAAGAAGTTATTTGGAAATTAGAGTCTAGAGTCCAATGGATCAATGAAGGAGATTCTAATACTAAGTTCTCTGATATCTCCACAACTAAGAATATACGTAGAAATATAATCATAGGTCTTAACGATTCAGTAGGAAATTGGACGTTCGATCCTATAAACATTAATGAGACAATCATTCATCACTTCCAAAAGATTTATACTACTGATCTAAACCATAGCTCCCTCCCTGCTCCTACTGTTTGTCAAAACTCCATCTCTCGAGAGAATAGTACCAATATAGGAAGACCTTTGACTAGAGAAGAAATTTAAAATGCCATTTTTTCCTTTCAACCCCTTGAACCCCCAGGACCAGATGGCCTTCACCCACTTTTCTTCCAAAAATTCTGGAAAGAAACATAGGAAGCAGTAGTCACCACGTGTATGACTGCTTTTAGCATTTCCTCCATTCTCGCGGAAATAAATAAGACTTTCATCTGTCTCATTCCAAATTTAAAAATCTGGAGCAAATTACTCACTACAGACCCATTAGCTTATGCAACACTATATACAAAACCATTATTAACATCATTGTTAATAGAAATAGACACTACTTAGATGATATCATTAGCCCCCAACAATGCAGCTTCATCCATGATAGACGAGCTTTAGACAACATAATAATTGTTCAAGAAGCTATCTATTCCTTCCAAAAATCCAAAGGAAAATTTGGTAAAATGCTTCTCAAAATCAACCTAGAGAAAGCTTTCGACAGATTAGAATGGTCTTTCATAAGACAATCCCTCATTATTCTAAACTTTCCTAATAATATTATCAAATTAATCATGTCTTGCATCTCTACCTCATCAATATCCATACGTGAATGGCATCTCGACAAAATTCTTCCTTCCATCGAGAGGATTAAGGCAAGGAGACCCGTTATCATCCTATTTATTTATTATATGTATGGAATCTCTCTCCAGACTCATTCACTTCGCTATTCAAGAAAGCCTATGGCATCCCGTTAGAATTGGTAGAATGGAAGTTCATATATCTCACCTTCTCTTTGCAGACGATATTATCCTCTTTGCTAAAGCCGACACTTTAAATGCATCCTCAATAATCCACATCTTCAACACCTTATCGGAACAATCAGGCCAAAAAATGAACTTCAGTAAATCCTCAATTATGTTTTCAACAAATGTTAGCCTTCAAGATAGAAATGACCTTTCCACAATGATGAATATTCGGCAATATGAGAAAATGGAGAAATACCTAGGACTACCTATAACAAATCATCATTCGAAAAGTCTTGATTATCAATACATTATAGACCATATGAATAAGAAGCTTAGTGGATGCATGTAAAACTCGCTTCCTTTCTCTAGCGGGAAGAACCATTCTTATCAAATTCGTCCTTTCTACTATTCCCACATATGCAATGCAATGCAACTTACTGCCCCAAATTACTATAAACCATATTGATCGTATCCAACGGAACTTTCTTTGGGGATTAACACCGAAAAAGAGAAAACTTCATTTAATAAATTGGGATGCTTGTACCACCCCTATAGATCAGGGGGGCTTAGGACTCAAAAACACTAATGGGAAAAATATATCCTTACTAGCTAGTTTACATTGGAGATTTCTAAATAACAAACGATCGTCTTTCGGTAAAAGTTCTGTCCAAAAAATATATAAATAGAAATAATAGAACTTTCTCAAACAAATATCATACCTACAACTCCTATATTTGGAAAAGTCTCGTTAAGGCATACCCCCTATTTCATAAAGGGATCTCATGGAACGTGGGTGACGTCACAAAAATCCATCTATAGAATGAAAGATGGATCGAAGGGTCATACACTCTTCGTGAAGTTATCCACAGCCCGATAAATAAGACAGATACTAAGCTTGTAGTGTCGGATATAATGAATAACAATGTTTGGAACTTAACTCATGTCTTCTTTGAAATACCCTGCGAAATTATAAACTCTATTCAAAATACCTATATCCAAGTCTCTACACAAAAAAATGATGTTTATTACTAGAACCAAAATATCAATGGGAAATTTAGCACTAACAACGCCTATAAACTCTTCTTAAAAGCAAATAACGACCTTCTTATAAGTCTTCCAAATACTTATACTTGGATTTGGAAACTCAGGACTTTAAACAAAATAAAATTCTTTATTTAGCTTCTTCTTCTCAATAAACTCCCTACCTCCTCCTCACTTTTTTTTTATATAGAAATATCACCAATCACAGAAATTGTATTAGTTGCCCTAATAGAGATGAAACTACTATTCGCATCTTTGCAAGCTGCCATGTTGCTACTACAATCTGGAATAAGTTCAACATAAATATAGATAGTAATGACTTTGACAACAATATTATCTATCGCCTATGCCACTCCAAGACCATGTCCAGAACTAGAAACAATCTTAGAATGCCTACAACCATTCTAACACCAATTATTTTTTGGAATATTTAGAAAACAAGAAATAGTAACGTGTTTAAACCTCACCCTCCAAATAACATTACCAAAATAATTCAAAACATATCTTTTTCAAGCACTTTAATTCCTTCATATTTCTAATCCTTCGAAAAAAAATCATCCAAAACAATCGATCCCTATCACATGGTCTAAACCCCCTGATGAATACTTCAAGTTGAACATTGACGGATCTTTTGAGCCTAAAACAACGAATGGAGGTATCGAAGGAGTAATAAGGAACCAAGCAGGAGAGTGGATAACAGGGTTTGCTTGTAAAACCAAAGTGGAAAGTGTGTACCATGCATAACTATTAGCCTTATTACATGGACTGACTCTTGCTAAAGAAAAAATATAAAACATTTATTGGTGGAAACAGGTACTACTAAACTCTCTAAATAATGATAATGCTATATACTCACATATCTGTGCTGACTGCAGGTCATTGCTCCAACAACTGGACGAACCATCATTGAATCATATACCGAGGGAGGCTAATGGAGTAGCTGACGAACTAGCGGAATACGGAAGGAAGTCAAATGATCCAACTATGACTCTAAATTATGTTTATATTTTTTATGCATCTCCTTCCCTCGTTACGACTTGTCTTGATAGAGATGCTAATGAAAATGTCTCATATAGAACCGTTCCCTTTTGTATGGATGAACCTTAGTATTAAATAAAATCCCTTCTTCCTAAGGAAAAAAAAAGAGATACTTATTTTGCCACATTAACATTTTATTTTTAGTAGATACATGTTTTGAATTATGCGGGTAGATGACTTCTATCGCATAACATTTTTCAATCGTGCCATACAGCAACAAGATTTTAGGGTTTTACATAAACCCTATCAAAATTGGCATCAACACTCTATTTGGCTTTGCCTAAATCCATCAATGGAGGCACTAAACGAATGTACTGCGAATTAGGTTGTGTATTTACATCCATCGAAGGCCAAAAAGGTTGAGGCCGCTGTTTATCGCGAACTCAGCTCTCTTCTTTTCAAGTAATTCCTTCTCATCGTATTCACTACTCTTTCAAACGCTTGATTGTTGTTTTCAATTTGAAGTTGCAGATTATGAGTTTTGTGCTTCTCTCATTGAATCTATAAGCGAATTTAACAACAATAAAAAAAAGTGATTTTTTTTTTGTATGAGAAATTTGGTGAATGCTGCATTCTTACTGTGAAGTTAATTAGTTGATGATGCCTGTTTTAATGGAGTGTTTATCAATCCACTTTTAGGTAATGCCCATTTTTCTTGTCAGAACAAGGCTTGTCTAGACCTTCCATGGTGGCGGAGCCAGAATTTTTACCTTTTCAAAATTGAGAGAGGTAAACACACAAACTATCAACATCTACATATAAACATAAAAAATAATTTCAACCATGTATAAATAGTTCCGGGACGAAGCTACGGTATCCCTTCGTCGAAAAATTACACTATATTTGACTTTATATTGGTATATCTAATATTTTGGACACCCTAAAATACCAAAGAAACCCGTAGCACAGTTGGCTAGAGCCCTCACATAAGCACACGCTGCCTCGTTTCGACTCCTTGCATGCGAGTTTCCTCTTTTTTCTTTAATTATTGTGGCCTTCTTGAATTTAATAATAAAATAAACATGTGGCTTGGTGATAAACGGTGTCAAAATTGTGTCGAACGTCCCAAGTTCGAATCTCATTTTTCACCTTTTTGTGGTTTCCTTATTTTTACTCTCATCATTTTTATTTACCAAAATTTGGACACCCTTCGTGAAATTCCTAGCTATGCCACTGATTAGTTCGAACCCCCGCCATAAGCTGGCTCCGCCCCCGCTTCCCCATATGTGAGCTTTGTGTAGCCGGCTGCGAGCAAGCATTAAAAGAGGAGAGTTGTGGTAGGTTGACTGCTGGGATAAATATAGTCATAATATGATGAATCCTGGTTCTTGTTTAGAAAATAAAGAGATGGCATGCTGGATAATTGCAATTAATGAACTAGAGAATTATATCACTTTCAAGAATGGCATACTAATCTTGAAATTTCTTAAGAAAGGATGTATGGATATTTTCTTGTATACATACTTTGATCTCTTGATAATTTTCTCAGATGAAGATCACCACTAAAATTAATGAACATCAGCTACATCCACAGTAACATTTGACAGTTGTTTGTAAATGAAAATGTCTCAATGAAACAGTTAATCATATATATGATTGGAGAACAAATATTTTAATGAATTGTATGAGAAAGGATGAATTACTTACTCTGTCTGCAAAAAGATTTTGCCTATGGCTACAGCTGAAAAGAGGTTGGAGAAACTCTTCCTGGATTGAAGATTAGAAAACATCCACAATTTCACACCCAAAAAGCTTGAAATCATTAACTGCTATCTAGAATGAAATAGAGTTGCTTCATAGAACTATCTGAATCTTCAGAAACATATCCAAGGTAAAACATGTTGTTTCTTTTGACATTCAATCTTAGTAAAACAGTATAAAAGATTGTACATTTTGAAGCATGACAAGATCATAAGGTGCTGGGCTCTAAAACATTAGAGTATACGTGTTGAATTACTATACCGTTGGCCTTTTCAGAAGGACAAAAAGTAGGAAGGGAAATAGGCAAAGAACTAGAGAAAAAAATAACTATTTGCTTATCCAAAATTTACTATTTTAATACCTCACCGAGGCAAACACCATAACTTTCAGTGTTACTTTTTGTTGATGCATTGTTTCAACTGCCAAGTAATTCAATTTTCTTTGTTTCACTGCTTCTTTGTGTTAAAGCTCATGCATACAAACAACTATTTCTTAAATGAGTTAGATACAATGTTTTGCAGTCATATTTGATGGTTTATTACGACGTGTTCAACTATATTAGTGCCCTCAACTGTCAACATCTCTTGCTACACACAAGTTCTTAACTAAGTGTTAACTTTCCGATGAAAATATCTTGTGAATAAGACCATCATCAATTATGGAGCTGCTTAGTTTCTTGTATAGGATATATAAGGCCTCCGCATCATTCACAATAACTGCAACAAAACATCAAAGAACCTAAGATGCTAAATTCCACCTTAAAACAAGTACTTATGGATAGTAACATATAGTAGTAGCTATCAACATCATACAAGTTCCATTTTACTCATTATTTGCTGGAAGATCACAAAATCAAGAAGACTTCTCACATCAGTTAGGGAATTGCTTGAAGTAGCTAGAATAAATAAAATAATTCACAGTTACTTGAAGGAAGGATAAGATACAAAGTGAGCTCAGGTTACAAGGTCATGAACAGGGCTCCTCTAACCCTCAATTGGCCTTGGAGACAAATCTGGAAAGCCAAAATCCACTCAAGGTGGCATGCTTCACTTGGCTGCTAGCAAAGGAGGCAGTACTAACATATGAGAATCTGAGGAAACGAAACAACATTCTGGTGACACATTGTTGTTTATGTGGGGAGGCAGCTGAGACAGTTAGGCATTTGTTCTTACATTGCAAAATCACTTATCAACTGTGGAAGATTTTCATCAATACTCAGAGGCATTCAATGGACAATGCCTAGCAAGATTGTTGACACTCTCTCAAGTTGGCAGGAAGCAGGAATTGAGGCAAAGAACAAAAGTTATTGGAGGACAATTCCAGCAAGCATCTGGTGGACCATTTGGAGAGAAAGGAATGCTAGAAGCTTTGAGGATAGAAGCAGATCCCTACAAATGATCAAAATAGATTGTATTTTGTTATTATGTTTTTGGTGTACAAAGAGTTCCCCTGTAGATGCAGAAGCAATCCTAGAAGTATTAGATTCATGCTAGGCTTGCTGTTTTTGTTCCTAGATTTTTATACGTTTTTGTAAAGGGGCTTTCAGTACTTATGTTTATAATACAAATCGTTAGCTTCTCAAAAAAAAAAAGAAGGTTTCTGAATGCATTTCAAATACAACATAAATGCTTTAAATAACAGCGCATCACTGTCCAATATAGAATTTAAAGTTGGTTTTCTTTTTGCTTGCATAGTTCCCATGTTGGAAAGGATGTTGTTGAGGTCTTGAGGATATATCCTGCTCTTTTTTTTTGTGAATTGTCCTCTATTGAATGAAACATTTTCAGTTGTATGTTCAAACTATCCAATTGGTGAAGTATCTAGATCATTGCACACCTCTTCCCAGAACAAGTGAAGGGGGAAAGAACATGGGAAAATATCACAAGGACATCAAAACAACAAATTTATTTAACACTAATTTAGATTAATAGAGGCCCAAGTGGCATTCTTAACTCACAACAAGTCTCAGAAGCAAGAGTATCATAGGCCTTAAGCAGATATCTAGTTTTCTTCAAACAAAAGTAGTTCTCTAGAGTATGCATAATCCAGCAGAGGACTTAAAAGGCCACAGGTTGAGATCTTCACCTGTCACAATCCAACAGAAAAATTAAATACCGATGCCTTCAAAATACTAATGCTTTCCAGAACCCCTTTTTTTTTGTATAACCACCTGGTATCTGAAGCCCACTGGCCCAACTAATTCGGATTCGTGTTACGTATGGCCCATTAAGGAGGGAAATGCTCCATACTAGGGGTTTCTCTATTCCCGAGCTCAAATCCGAGACCTCTGGTTAATGGGTTGAGGGATCACAACCATCCCACCACATCTGTTGGTGGTGCTATTCATAATCTAGGTATATTAAAACTCAGAAGAAATGATCACAACCTCAGTCTTAGAGAAGGGCCATTCTGATCATTTGTAACACATAACTTAGTGCCTCATGTGTACTAAGGTTCAATTAACCAGTTCTAGTTCCAGGGAAATGCTAATTTAGGTACCTCAGCAGTCAGCGCATCAGAGGTCACTGCTTCTAATCCAAAATAAGCAGAAGATATTCTCCATGCAATTCATGCTAATTGTACATGTGTTCAAGAATTTTAACTGTTACAATAGCATTTAACAGGAAGCTAAGAGACCATGTAACCTGGAATAGTGCAATTTGCTACTTTTTATTTTAGTTTTTTATAACCTCTAAGAAGTATTCGGAACCTACTAGCGATTATTTCAAATTCATGCCATGTGGACCCATTAATGGGACATGCTCTCCTACCTGGATGTACTTCTAAAAGGGTAAGAGGTTGCATTACATCTCTGCAAGTAGTTAGGGATTGAGGTCTGACTGATTATTACATTTTTTGATCAGTTGATGTGTTGTTGATTAATTGAATGATTGATTGTCAATGGATTGTGCAAGCAATTTACTTATTCAGCTTGTTCAATCAATTGGATAGATTATTGAGTATATTTAGGGAGGTATCCGATAGCCGTTGTTGTACTGCTTGTTTTATTTTGGCTTGACTATCCTGCTATTTAAAGCTCCTACTTTTCATGGGTTAATATTTTCCTTCTCTCTTTCTTCTCTTCCCTCCCCCATTATCACTTAGGAATTTGGTGTTTGAGTGTATTTGAACTTCTGCTCCACTTGTTTCTTAGGTACTTTTGTTCATAAGGTTCCTTTCTTTTTACAGGTTTAATGAAGCTTTAGATGGTGTGGTGTTGACTTATGAACCGAAGTTCAGTAGCAATTTGGCTAAAATTCTTCCAGGAATTCACCCTTATTTTGGTGTGAGATTTGAAGCAAAGTTGCTAAATGCTATTAGGTAGTCCTACAACTTAATTCTTATTTGCGTAATATCATGTGAATTCAAACACATTATGTTTTTTTTGGTTATAGAATTGTACTCTAGGTCAGTTATTTTCCAGGATTTTCCTTTTTGGAGTGAGGTTGGAGTAATGCTAAAGTAATGGCAGTTTTCTTAATTTCACCACTCTCATTGTTCTCCCTTTTTCAGAAACTCAAAGCTCAACTCCCCACCCTGGATATATTAATATATAAATGTTTAAGAGTGTAAGTCAAAGGTATAATATTGTAAATTCTTTTGGGTTGACGTGTTTCTTTAATCCTTCTTTTGATATTGATCTTTTCAGAAGGTGAGGTCGTTAAAGTTGGCCAACAGTCTATTCACATAATTGTTCTTGGTTTATCTTCTGCCGTCATCGCAGATGAGGACATTCAAGAAGATTTCAAGTATAAAATTGTAAGCACTTTGAACTAATGACCTTCAGTTGAGATATAGATTTTGATACTGATTTGTCTTTGAATATGTTTTTCTTTTTATAGAAACACGGGAAAGAAGTTTTTGTCAGCAAATCTCACAAGAATCACAGGATCAAAGTGGGAACTACTCTACGATTCGTAGTCAAGAAGTAAGATTATCATTCATATTTCTTTTTTGAGCTGTGGAAATTCTTTTCCTGCATGTATACACTTGGAATTAACTTTCAGCCTTGATTATTTGCTTTCCTCTAAAATAGGGATCGATACATAGCAAAATAATATAAAACAAAAAGGAACGGAAGCATATATGCAGTTTTTTTGGTCCAGTGACAAGTTATATAGGTATACCAGTTTGCTTTCAAGGCAGCACCTTGAATTTGAAAGAAGGTACTTGTCTTTGCGTCGCAGAGTAGTCTTGGTTAATAGTGTTGTTTTTGCCCACTTATGTGATGTCCCTGTTTCCCTTGTCTTGTAAGGTAAGGGACAAAATTGATGCTTTAAGAAGAAAATTCATCTGACAAGGTAACAAAGACAAAAAGGTTATGCATTTGGTTGATGGGAAGTCTCTGATCACCACTAAATCAAAAGGGGGACTTGAAATTAGGGACTTAAAAGCTCAAAGTATTAGTCTACTGCTGAAATGTATATGGAGGTACAGTTTGGAAGAAAATAGCTTATGGAAAAGGGTAATTCGTGGCAAATACGCCCTAGAAGGGATGTTGTGTACTAATTCTGTCAACAGCGCAGACCATATGGTGTAGGGGTATGGAAGTCCACCAGACTTTACGGGGACACCTTCTTATCTAACTCTAAAATCTTCAGGCTGGCAATGGAAGAAAGACTTTCTTCTTGACAGACAACTGGAACATGGATGCTTAAAAGAGCTTTTACCTGATTTATACAGCATTACAGCTTCACCAAATGCTAGTTTGAGCACAGTTAAGGGACAAGAGGGGGTTGATCAGATGGCAAGCACCCTCCACCTCCAACTCTGAGGTTGTGAGTTCCAGTTACCAGGGGAGACAAAAAGGTGGAAGCTTGTAGGGACGGGTAATAAAATAAATTAAAAAAGGGAATCTTAGTAGCTCAGTTGGTTGTCTAGATACCTGAACTTTCACCTTGTTTGTGAGTGTTCAATTTCCCACCTTGTAATCCCCTTTCCCATTTCCCCTTAACCTCAATTTAACCAAAAAAAAGAACAAACCACAGTTAAGGGGCTGCACGGATGGAATATCAACTTCAGGAGGGTCCTCAATGATTGGGAAATAGAAGGTGCACTGGAGTTATTTTAAGGCTTTGAAGGATTTCCATTAGATATCAGAAGCAGTGGACAAACTTCATTAGAGGTGAAACAAGGATGTGATTTTCAGTCAAATTTGCCTGTCTAACAGTCAGCCATTCTGACCAACAGATTGATGATTGACCATGGAAGTAAGAAAACTAATGCTCCTACAAAGGTTCTATGTTTTTCTTGGCTGGTGGCAAGATAGGCTTGTTTGACTCAAGAAAGGTTAAAAAGAAGGGGCTTCCAGTTGTGTCCTAGGTGTCTTCTTTGTGGTTCAAACATAGAAACTAATAGTCATTTTGTTTCTTCATTGCCCTTTTACTTATCAGCTGTGGCAACTCTTTCTTAACATTGTGGGATAAAATGGTGTATACCTGCAAACACTGTTGATCTCTTTAAGAGCTGAAATACTATGGGAGGTATAGTTAGACAGGATAAATGTTGTTGATTCATGCTTGTATATGGTGGTCAATTTGGAGGAAGAGAGATTCCAGAGTTTTTGAAGATAGGAGCAGTCATTTGCAGATGATTAAGATGGTATCTATTGCTGTTTCACTTTTGGTGTAAAGAATGTTCAATAGAGGAGGATTCTTCAATAGACTTGGTAGGGCAACTGTAATTAGGTACGCTTTTTGCTGGTTTTGGGGATCTGTCCTCTGTATATATGGCTTCACTAGTGCTCTTAATATTAATACTAATGTTACCATTATAAAAAAAAGGTCTTTTTCTGCCTTCATTAATCATTACCTTCAACCCTTTGGTTCATGAAATTAAAGGTTCTAGCTAATGTAGTACATATAGCAAAAGAGGAATATCAGAAGTATATCCTTCACACTACCATGTTAAAATAACCTGCCCACTCTGAAAATATATAAAAAAAACATACATGTAAGAATGTAATACATAAAGCTCTAGTTGGAAAAGGAGATTAGTGAAGGTGCTGGGTAAAAATATCATAATTCTGTTGGGACACATGCAAACCATTGTGTGATATTTTCCAACAACCATATGTTCCAACATAAAAAAATACAATAATAACCATAACCATTAATATATTAGCAGTCCCTAAGATTGTCATATTAGATTACATTAATATATAAGCAGTCAGTCCATAAGATTTTCATATTAGATAATACATTAATCTATTCAATCGTAACCATAACATTTTCATATGAAACTATGAAGTTTGATTTTTTAGGTCTACGCAGTCATGGGTCTTCATTGTTACTAACATAGCCACTCTGAACCTTTGAAACCCCATAATTCCATAGCACTGAAGCATATCTCATGTGAAGGGATTGAGCAACAATCCTAGAAGGTGGTACTTGTAGTCCATCACTTAGAAACTCAGCAACAAAAAGTCCACCATCCTTGCATCATGTATTAAAAAATAATATCACATTTGTAAATGGTAAAAAAATAAATAAATGGTAAAAAAAAAAGTGATACGTACCGACTATCACTTGCTTGCTAGGCAATGTCAACAACGTAGTTGACTTCAAATGGGTGAGAACTGTTCTTGCCCTTGTAAGATTCAAGCGCTGACCAGTCATGTCGGTCTTTTTGCTAAAAAAAGTCACTATATTGAAGGTACTTTGGCAACATTGTAGCCTGCTTTTGATTCTCACTTGACAATTTTCTACTTCGGTTTCTCCACGACGAGGACATTGAATCATACACATTTATGTATCGTTCCTTCAATACAACGACCACTAGGACCCAATGAAACTTCCCATCATAATTACCTGGACATAAACCTCATTTGTCAGGTGCCAAGGCAGCCCAACGGCTATACTAAACCTTTTGATAATGTTAACAACATTCTCCTTATAATTAGAAACAACATTGGCCTTGTCGATGTATGTTCTGAAAAAACAATTAACGATGATATATCGATATTGTTGTGATTACTTAATAACTTCAACTTCTTCCATAGATAGTTAAAAATTACATCCACATGCATAACTTATGTATCAATTATTTGTATGTATCAGCAGGTGTTAATCAAAAGATAAGTGGACATAGTTATACCTCATCATTCCAACACTTGTTGGGTTGGGACATTAGGTAGAACCAGTCCTTCGTCTTCAGAGATGTAACTACAAAATCTAGCTGTTCGAATCCAAGACACGAGCATTTAGCTATGTAATGCCCATCCTTGTCTTTTCTGTAATTGTGTAAAGATAATTAATTAATGGATATCAAGAACATTAATAATAGTTGACTGACTTACTTTTATGCATGTTGCTTGTCAAGACCCTCACGTATCCATTCCGAGAACAATGAGATTAGTTGAGTTGGACCCTCGTCGAAAATGTTATAACCTTGAAATGGATATTGTTGCCGCACATCAGAATTCAGAATTGGCTTTCTCCTTTCCTTTTGAGGTTGAGCTAGATAGTGGAGCAGCAGGACTTGATATTTTTCTCTTTTTGATATTAGATAGTGATCTGGAAATAGATTTTTTCAACTTCCTAAACTTCAAATGTTGTGCTATCTTCTTTGATAGAAGGATATTAGATGTCAATTCCTTAATAGTATTTGTCAATTCCTTAACACGAATAAGAGAATAATCATGTTTATATTGGCATCCTTTGCATCGACAGCAAACACATTTGTTGTTAGAAGAGGAAGCAGCAAAAGATTGAGCATTTGTTGTGCTCATGGTGGACTCTATGGAAAGAAATGAATTCTAGATGTTTTGAGGACAAGAGCAACAACATCAAGAAGATAAGGATGAATTGCCTTAGTCTTTTGTACTTTTGGTGTAAACAGGATATGAGGAGGGATATAAAACTTTTTATTGATTTCATAGGAAATTTGTAATCTCCCTAAGGGTAGGTTTTGTTATGCTCTGATGAGACTTGTGAATACACGGTTACCCTGATCTCAAAAAAATAAAATTGTTTGCTACAGATCCTATTTATTGGTTAAGATTGGTAATCTGTTGCTACAAATGACTCATCTGTTCCAACATATATGTAAGTCTCCGTGAAAGATTACCTTACAAACTCATATTTTTTATTAAAGGTTGTGCATCCATGACTTGTCCCAACAGAAAAAGAGTTGCAAATATCATTCCTTGTTACTCAAGCATTTGTTGAGACGCTATTTGATCCTATGGTGGATATAGTTAAAAGGGAATTGGTTGGAGCAACAACCATCAAAAGAGAAAGAGTTTATGCTGGTCAACTTGTTGTTTTTGATGAGGATATGATTAATGCAGCTGTAAGGGCTGGTGTTGGTGCTGAAAAAAGTGGTGGGAAGAAAAATTGTTGGTGTTGGTGGTTCTGAAAGAATGTTGACACCTTTTTCTGGGGCTGAAAAAAGTGTTGGGGCTACCTCTTGTAATAAATGTTTTGGCTTTCAATGTGGTAAGTGGTAAGTGCTAGAGAAAAGATTATGATGTTGTCAAGTGTCTTCAAACATTGACCGAGGCTGTGAAAGAATTGACATCCAAGAGGAGTGTCATTCCATCATGGAAGCTTCAGGATCCATATACTCTACATGTTAAGAGGAGAAGAAAATTGTTTGTCAAGGCAATATAAAATATGGAAAAAAAAAGTTATTGGAGAATTGTCAATGACCATAAGAGAGAAGTCGGTGCTTAAGAAGGTGAATATTTACAAGTTCGTGCCTTCAGCTATAAAAGGCTACTTTGTTGGCACTGATGGAAACAAATGATCGCGAATTCTACTCCATGCATTATCTTGATGAAAATGATTTTAAGAACATGACTAGTATGAATTTTTGGTGGTAGGACTTGTTAAGTTTTCTCCAATAACCTTCAATTTATAATGTTTGTTTTATCTTTTCAATTATTACTAACTAAAATTAATTGTTATTTCAGTAAGTTCTTAGCCTCATGCGGGAGAGGCATATCAGATTCAATGAGCACTATGATTTCACGGATAGAATCATGGATCTCAACTTCTATGGTTACTTCATAGACAAGTTCAAGATAATGAGCGAGGAAACAACAACAGCTGGTGGCAGAACCTTAAAGCAGTTACTTGCTGAGTTTGTATGGCAAGATGATGCCGTTGACTATGTTAGAGGGAAGAGACCATATCCTGGTGGCATGGATTGGATAGGGGCAAAGAGGATTCTTGCAGTCATGAACTCAGGGAAAAAACATTTTGACTCTTGAGATCCTCTTGAACGAGGGAGTCAGTAATGTTTATGACTGCAACATTGGTTAGCTATTAATAACTTTAAACTGGTGTAATAATATAGTTAAAAGAGGTGATGTTTTGGTTATATAATTTAGCAGAAAAATAGAAAAAATATGTATTCTATCATTGAGAGTGCTACACTGCCTCTGTTATGACCAGAATTATATAGATAGATATAGATTTTCAATGGTCTGTAGAATCCCCAATTTGTTGGGTTGTCTGCATAAATGATTTCCTGAATTTGCATGTGCCTTAATTATTGCTGTGGTTACATAGTAATTCTTACAGTGTTTCTATTACTGAATTTCAATGCTCTTTTGCTTCTCCTTTCAGTATGCATTTTACATTTTTGGTTTAACTTTAAAGGATGAATTAGACCTGACATCGTGCTTTTTATTTGTAGTTTTGATGAAGAGATACTACACATATGTGGGTCTTTCATTCCAGCTAACACAGGAAATGTTCAATAGTTGGAAACGAAGGCAGAAGAGTCTCAAGCTTACAGGTTTGTGAACTGTGAAATTTCTATTCACTTATTTCAGTCCATCACTTTGCCTCATGCATTTTTCTGATACTGCAGCATTACAGAAAAGAGGTTAGGCAACAATAGGGCTGCTGAATTGCTTGAGCCTGATAACTTAGTACCTTACTGGGAAAAGCTGAAATCTGAAAATCATATTAAGAAATCGAGAAGATCTAAAAGCAAAGACAGCTGAATGTGCTAATTGTATGCATTGCATCACGACATTTTTTTGTAAGGTATTCATTTCCTTTTCTTTTTTTTTTGTTTCCATTTCTTAGTTACTCTGCTCACGGTGAGAAATATATTATTGAAATTGTGTATTTACATTGTTACATTGAGACCTATTTATAAACATTACATTAGACTCCTTTTCCAACTAGGATTACTATTCGTATTCTATTATAATTCCTATTCTAAGTAGGATTGTATATATTTATTCATATTCTAACACTCCCCCTCAAGCTGGTGCATACAAATCATATGTACCTAGCTTGTTACAAATGCAATTATACGAGCATCGATGAGGGACTTGGTAAAGATATCCGCAAGCTGATCATTTGACTTCACAAATTTTGTAACAATATTTCCTAAGAGTATCTTTTCTTTGACAAAGTAACAGTCAATCTCAATGTGCTTAGTCCTTTCATGAAACACTGGATTTGATGCGATATGAAGGGCCGCTTGATTATCACACACAAGTTCCATCTGACTGATTTAGCCAAATTTTAGCTCTCCCAGCAACTGTCTGATCCAAACTAGTTCACAAGTTGTTGTAGCCATTGCTCGAAATTCTAGTTCTGCACTAGATCGAGCAACCACACTCTGTTTCTTACTCTTCCATGACACCACATCTTGGTGGCTCCCGGGTGAATGGAATACCGAGAACTATGTGCTTCTGACAAGATCTGTTCCCTCAAGTCATCAACATTAGGAACACACAAACGACCTTGATATCTAAGTACACCATCGAGAAAGCCTCTACGGACTTTCTAAGCACCGTTTCTTTCAATTCCACTAAGGTCGGATCAAGACATTGTTTAGCTTTCACATTCGTCACAAAAGATGATTCTAAACCATTGTGGACCATAACACCACCCTTGGTAGAGTCTACTAACTGAACACCCAATCGAGCCAATCTATGTACATCTCATACCAATTCTTTCTTATCTTCTTCTATATGGGCAACACTACCCATTGATAATCGGCTAAGAGCATCCTTTACTACATTCGCCTTACCGGGGTGATAGAGAACACTCATATCATAATCCTTAAGCAACTCAAGCCACCTTCTTTGGCAAAGATTCAAATCTTTCTGATTAAACACATATTGCAAACTCTTGTGGTCGGGAAACACATCTACGTGAACACCATACAAATAGTGCCTCCAAATCTTTTAAGGCAAAAACCACCGCCGCTAATTCAAGATCGTGGGTAGGATAATTCTTCTCATGAACCTTAAGTTGCCTTGAAGCATAGGCAATAACTTTTCCATTTTGCATAAGCACACATCCTAACCCAATTCTTGAGGCATCACAATAAACAACAAAACCATTCGTCCCTTCCGCTAAAGTCAACATCGGAGCGGAAGTAAGTCTATTTTTCAATTCCTGAAAACTCTTCTCACATAATTCGGACCATATGAACTTGGCCTTCTTTTGAGTCAAAGCTGTCAATGGAGAGACAATCGTAGAAAACCCCTCAACAAATCTTCTGTAATAATCAACCGAACCCAGGAAACTTCTAATATCCGAAGGGGATAAAAGGTCTAGGCCAACTCTTGACCACATCCATCTTCTTAGGATCTACCTCAATACCTTTACTTGAAACAATATGACCACCTTAGCCAAAACTTACATTTGCTAAACTTTGCAAAGAGTTGTTGGCCCTTGAGAATTTGCAACACAATCCTCAAATGATTGGTGTGATCATCCTCACTTCTCGAATAAATCAATATATCATCAATGAACACAATTACGAACATATCAAGGTATTGTCTAAACACCCTATTCATCAAATCCATAAAAGCCGCCGGAGCATTAGTCAAACCAAACGACATCACCAAAAACTCATAATGACCATATCGGGTTCTAAAAGCCGTTTTCAGAATATCTTCATATTTCACCCTCAATTGGTGATGACCCGACCTAAGGTCAATCTTAGAAAAGTAACTTGCTCTTTGGAGTTGGTCAAACAAATCATCTATTCTTGGAAGAGGATACTTATTCTTAATGGTCACCTTATTCAATTGCCGATAATCAATACACATGCGGAGTGAACCATCTTTCTTTTTAACAAACAAAACTGGAGCACCTCATGGAGAGATACTCGGTTGGATGAAACCCTTATCCAACAAATCTTTCAATTGTTCCTTTAATTCCTTAAGTTCTACTGGAGCCATTCTATAAGGAGGAATAGAAATAGGCTGTGTATCTGGGAAAAGGTCAATACCAAAATCTATTTCCCTTTTGGGAAGAATACTGGGTAAAACATCTGGGAACACTTTTGGATACTCATTAACAGCGGGGACCGACTCAAGAATAGGGGTTTTGGATCTATCACCCTAACTAGATGATACATGCAACCCTTAGAAATCATCTTTCTAGCTTTAAGACAAGAAATAAATCGACCTTTCGGCATAGAATATCCCCCCTTCCACTCTAGGATAGGCTCATTCGGAAACTGAAATCTGACTACACGGGTTCTACAATCAATAGAAGCATAACAAGAGTGCAGCCAATCCATACCAAGGATAACATCAAAATCTAGCATATCAAGCTCTACCAAATCGATAAGAGTAACTCTATGGGACAAGGAAACGGGACACTTTCTATAGACCCTCTTAGAGTCTTAGCCACAATAGAATCACCAACAGGAGTAGAGAGAGAAAAAGGATCTAACAACACATCAGGAAGCACATCAAATCTCATAGCCACATATGGCATCACAAAAGACAAGGTAGCACCGGGATCAAGTAAAGCATAAACATCAAGTTGAAAAACTTCCAACATACCGGTAACCACATCGGGAGAACCCTCTTGATCACCACGAGTCTGAAGAGCATAGAATCTATTTTGCTTGGGAGCACTAGTACCCGAACTACTTGGACCGGATGAAGGATAGGGTTGAGCCCTACGACGACTATCTCCCTCATTCTTAGCAACTGAAGGATAATCCCTTATCTTGTGGTCCATCTTACCACAACCAAAACAAGCATTGGAACCTGTTAGACATTTGTCCTCATGCCTTCTATCACACTTAGCACAATTTGGCAATGAAGACCCACTACCACCTCCTTGAGGTTTAGGGTTAGACACCCTCTCTTTGTTGAACTTAGGAGCATTAAAGGAACCTTGCTCGGAAAACCTTTGTCGATACCTAGGACAATCATGTCCATCGAACCTTGCATAAGAGAAATTACCATCACCGGTTCTAGACCTCTTTGTCTCCCTAGACCTCTCCTTAAGTTCCTCCTCTTCAATTTGTTGGGCATGAACCATGAGACGAGAAATATCCATGGCATGGACAAGCATAGTCGTACGACACTCTTTCACTACTAATTCAGACACACCTGAAACAAACTTACTCATCCTTGCCCTAGAGTCGGCAACTATAGAAGGAGCATAATTCGACAATTGAGTGAACCTCAAAGCATATTCTTTCACACTCATGTTCCCTTGTCGAAGATTAATAAACTCAAGCACTTTTTCCTCCCTCGTCTCAAGAGGAAAGAACCTATCAAGAAAAGTGGACTTAAACCTTTTCCATTCTAGGTGACCCGCATCTATCGGTATTGCTTCCTTCCATTGGTTGAGCCAAATTTGAGCAACACCCTTAAGTTGATAAGCGGCCAATTCCGCCTTTTCCACCGGAGTCACTCCCATAATAGTCAAGACCTTGTAAACCTCATCAATGAACTCTTGAGGATCTTCCTCAACCTTAGAACTATAGAATTCTGGAGGATTCATCCTAGTGAAGTCCCACACTCTAGATGCTGCCCTACCCACATTTGGGTTCACGGGGTTCACAACTTCCCTATTGGCTTGGGCCGTCACAGCTTGAGCCAACACTTGAAAACAGTCCTAAACTCTGCATTAGTCACTTGCTCGGCCAAAGGGTCAACCGGAGCTTGAGGAGGAGCTCCTTGACCAATCTCTTCTCCTTCATTCCTTCTAGCAAAAGTTCTTCGAGTAGTCATATCCTGTAGACCATCGGGTAAGGATTAGGAGAGAGATCTTATAGAGTTAAAACTCTATCACATGACTTAGAGTAATGAAGAAGTGAAGTTTCCTAAACATCTTGTAGCCTCTCATTCATAAATGTGGCGTGCTTCACACTCATGAACCAGACTCTACTAGACGTGGTTTTGAGACATCCTAGGACCTCTCTAAACTTTGTGCTCTGGTTACCAAGTTTGTCACGACCCAGGGGTACCTCTCGATGTAACATGGCATACAATACCCCGAGAGGCCTCATATAAGCCACTTAACATTCATAGTCAAGATAATAAAAAAATTGGGAAAATTTAAAACATTTTCAACACAATCAAAGTTTTATAAAATGAAGTGGAAGTCTAGTACACTTGTCTCAAAATCCATCTAAAACAATAGAATCATTGGGACACAGCCCATACAACAATGTTCCAACTTAAAATGAAAAGAGCACAAGGAAATGGTGGCCAAATCCTCGAATGCTATGAGGACTCACCAATCTTCAACCTTGCCTCTACTATGGATCCTAGCCACGGGGATGAGAGTCGGGAACGTTGGACCCTACATTTGGATAAGAAATGTAGGCAAGAGTATGCGTTAGGACAACAATGTACTAAATATGATAGCTTGCATAAACATCAACATAAACATAAGAGTTAGACAACATAAGTCGTAAGGCATAATCAATGAACATAATAGATCATTTCAACATAAAAGGAATACTTCTTGAAGTAACCTCAATTCATCCTTACTCATCATGGAAGGCAAACTCAAGCAACAATCCAAGCTCATCACCTATCATACATATCTTAGCTTATCTTTTATAGAAATGGGAAATCGCCTCTTGCCTTCCTATAAAGGCGCATGGGTATTCGCCTCTTGCCTTACATAAATGGATCATGGGTAGTAGCCTCTTGTCCAACTTATGGGATCATGGGTACTCGCCTCCATGCCCAGCATCATGTGACACGGGTACTCGCCTCCATGTCTTTCTATAAGGATCATGGGTAATCGCCTCCATGTCCAATCATCATTATAGGAACATGGGGAGTCGCCTCTTATTTGATTCTAAGGAATATGGGTAATCGCCTCTTATTCAACTCTAAGGAATATGGGAATCACCTCATATCCTTCTCATTTAGAGGTCATGGATAATCGCCTCTAGCCTCATCAATTTCTTAGTCTTTTAGCTTAGATTCATTTTAGGTGAGCAATCCTTTCAACCTAGAATCATTCAATGTGAGAAAGCCTTTCACATTCATACATAAGCAATTCATGTGGGTAAATCTCTTCCACCTCAATCACATCAAAATCATCAATTAATAACATAAGTTTCACTCTCAAAGCAATACTCATCATATTCATCATATATGCTTCAATCTCAAAGCAATTCATAATGTACCTTATTTATCCTATAAGAATACACCTAAATTCACAAATTCTCCTTTCATGGATCAAAACCCATTTACATCAATTTCAACTTAGAAACATGGGTTAAGCATGGGTACATGTAAATTCATCCTAAAAAACATGTAATCCTATCAATTCATGCATAAACAATCATAACCCAATCAATTGGATTAACATTCATCAGACCCACAACTTTAGAAGAAAACCCTAACTCAAATTGGGGAATTTCTACTTTCAATTGGGGAATCTTAGGGGCTCCATGGATGAAAAGCCATTATACCTTACTATCAAAGCCCACAATTTCTTGAGGGATGGAGACTTGACCTTGACCCTAGCTTCAACTCTTTCTTCTTCTTCAAGTTCTAGAGAGAGAAATATTTTGAGAGGAAGAACTTTGGTTTTTCTTTTCGGTTTTGAGAGAATGACTTGAATGGGTGAGTTTTGGGGGTTAAAATCACTTATATAGGGGTCCTAGGCTTGGGTAAAACGACATAGCTTTGATTCAATTAATTCTGGAAAAGATCCATATACCCCTGAACTTAAAAGTTGTCGAACCACTTCACGAGGGGCACCACGTCCCATCAAGGACCACACGGCCCATTGTGGTGGCCGTGGTCCTTGACCAGTAGCCTGGCTTGCCACCCCTTAACTCTCTCTCCCTTCACGACCCTCTCCACGGTCCGTAGTGGCCTTCACGAGCCGTCAAGTGGCTTGTGGGAGGGTCTCTCTTTTAGGAAGCCTTTTGCTAGCTACTGCCTAGCCCTTCACGGGGCGTGATGATCCTCGTGGGAGGTGAGCACCACTTGGTTAGCTACTGTGAACCACCACGGGCAGCACCACGCCTCGTGGTGCCCTTCACAGCCCGTATGGGTCCTCGTGAAGGTTGCCCAGGCCAATTTCTTTGGCTCATGACCTCGTGAGGTGTTACAGTTCATTTCCTTAGGCCCTTAAGATAAGAATATATTTTCGATGATTTGCTGGATAAATATGAAAGCTTGAGGTGTAGTTAATAGAAAACAAACATAAGTTGATGCTGCTGCATGCTGTTTGTTTTCTGATGGCAGTTGTGAAAGATTTGATGGTTTAGGTGATGGTGGAGGAGAAAGGTCTTAACTTTGGTGACGGTGCTTGTGGCGAGTCCTGGTGGTTGTTGCATGGTGCTAGACTGCTGGTCTCGGAGGAAGAAAACAAAACAAAAGAAGAGATGGTGGAAAAGTAAAGAAGACAGTAAGAAAATAATCTAATAAAAGATGTTAAAAAAGGTTTTTGATATATTTTTTGGCTACTCTCTTTGAGAGTGTAATGTAGTCTCTTCGCCACATAAGCATTGGGGGATAGGATTTCTCTTCAAGATAGCCCAAGGGAGTAACAGGAGATTCACAAAGTATAGGACTGCAACTGAGAATCCAGGGATAGTTCCTTTTTTTTTATCAGATAATTTAGGGGTATTTTATGCCTTTTCCCATCTCAAATCAACTTCCACCCATTAATTTCCAATTTCTTTTGATGCTTTGATATGGCATATTCCCCCTCACCCTCCTTTCTTTTATTATACATGTACTAAACCCCATTACATTATGGAAATTTCTGTAGTACCTCAACTCTCATGCAACCAAATTTCCTTGAAATTCTAAGGCTACTTACATGCATCGAATGTATTCTGTGGTTTGTGCAGAACGGACCGGTAGAGATGGCCAATGTACACTGTTTTTTGTTGTTGTTACTGTTCATGATGGGCAAAGATAATACAGGAGGAAGATGAAACTTTAATTTGCATAATCTATATCAATGTAATCTTCTGATTAAATTTGTGCTGCTAATAGCTTTTACGTACATTTTTTAATCCTAAATTTTGCTCAACTAAATGCTGATATGAAGATTGGTTGATTGTTTATTTCTGCAGATTTTTATGCCACTCTTAATTTGAATTTGGCGCAGTGGGCTGCCTTTTCTACTCTTATCAAGTTTTTTTTTTTGGGTTCCTTGAGTGACAAAATGTTAATTTTCTTTTTTGGTTTGCGGGGCAGGTGTAAGTTTTTGGTTCTTGTTGGAAGAATCCGTTTAGTATTGTTATATGTTTGCGCAGTAGTTTGTTCAGATGAAAACCTGTTCTAATTTATCTTTAGAAGAATCAAAAGTGTCTTTCCAGTGTACGTCTGAATGTCACTAATTGAAATACGATGAAAGATGGGTTTTCAAGTAATATTTTGCAACCATTTTGAAATAGGAGGAATTGAAGAGTCCTCATATATCTTGTTCAGTTTCACAGGAAAACAAAGGAAATAATAGATACTTTTATTTAACTTTCTTGATCCGAAGAGTGTTACAATTTTTTTTTGCTTGAGGACAATTCTGTGGGAAAAAAAATAGTGATAGACAATGCAATTTCAAAATGTTGAGCAATGTAACTATTATGTGAAGAAGTAATGAAGTAACGAACATGACATCTAACTTTGAACATGATTTGTCTATACATTCCAACTAATATTTGGTGTGGGTTTCAATCATGTCACTTTGCCAAGAGCATCATTGGCAACTGGCAAGTGACTGGTTGGTTCAATTCAGGTTGGGTGTTAGTTCAAACAAGTAATGATTAGTGCCAATTGGCTGTCTTTTTCTCAGAATTGGCAAAGTGGGAATCAAAACCAGGTCTGCTTTCTGTGTTGTGCACATGTTACATACCAACCAATCTAAATGTAGTTAAAAAAAAGGAGTCCAGATGCTTGGTATCCAGAAGAGGCCCAGGCCACATTAGGTCTATAGGATGCAACCTCTTGGCCACACAACGACAACTCTTACTATTGCACTTAACCTCCCCTTCAAATGTAGAGTATAGATCAAATTTCTCAATGGTAAGCACACATGTATCAAGCCGTCTGAGGACTACAACCTAGAGCTGCCTCCATGTCTACTGAAGGAAATGCAAGATACATAGATTAGTATCATAAGATTGATTCGTTGGACAAAATTGCAAGCACAAGATATCACCATATCAGATCTTCCCTACATGTTCCTTTACTCAGATATTTACATCAACAGTATGGAGTTTTATCTCCTAAAGTTGCATCAGAATTAACCCTTCTGCCTCAAATGATGAGTGTGATACAATCATATGCCAATTAGACACACAAATGTTGGTAAAACTTAGCCAGATAAAACATAGTAAAATTTATGAAAAGGATAGTTTACCATTTCACACAACACTGTAAGCAAATAAGTGAATAAACTTGGCACAAATGTAGCAAAACGTACATTTCATTGCTCAATAAAACCATAAAAGGTACATGACACAGCATATGATATCCATAACTATAATATTTACAGAAAGAGGACTATCAAATGTGTATCGCTATAAAGTCTAAGGCACTTGGCTAACTGTTAAATGAAACGGAAGCACTTTGTGCATTCTTAGAAGTATATGCCCCAAACTAAAACATAAGCAGATGCCCATCAACATGCATGACACGGGCTGATTTAAAGCGCATAGTTAGCCAGCCAGCAACTGGCATTTCATCTCTAGAAGCAAGACTGGCTTGTTCAAACAACTCAGGGTGAGCTAGCTCAACAAAATTCTCTTTTCCGCTCCTTTTCAGTATGAGTTAATCCACCTTTCTTAGTTTTCCCTGAAAATGATGATAATATTGTGTATAACATAGATGCTTATATACTGACAACTCTGGATATACGCTTCATATTAGTTCTGATGCAAAACACGTAAAGAAAGCGGAGGAAGCCAAAAGAAGCAGCTGCTTTATACCTTTCTCGGCCAAAAGGTTAAGATAAAGCGAAGAAGTAGCTGTTTTATGTAAACGAAAAACCAGCCAATCAAAACTTAGCTAACACTAGCACATTTGTTGGTTGAAAATGGTATTGACACAAACTTTGTTCCACCTTATGGTAATGAATAATCTTGCAACCAATGTACAATATCAAATAAAAACCATCATGAACTAGAACAACATAGAATAATAATTATAGGCATTCCCAGTTATTCTTTTAGTAATGAATCAATACACAGTCTTTTAACAAGAAAAATTAGATAAATTTGACATGCTAGCTCCTCAGCATATTTACGTGATCTCAAGAGGAATTTAAAGGCTGGTGCGATTATGTATACAAATGCAACCCAATAAAAAGAAAGCATGATACGAACAAGCTTAAAATGCAAGTTCAGCTCCCTAAGTTCCGCACCTAGAAATTAGGAAATGTGCTGACACCGGTGCCTTCTCGTTTAAGGATCTAAAAATAAAGGAAGTGAAGACAAGGGGGCACATTTTGATGAAAATGACCAGCGTACTGATAAATAACCGACATTAACAATGTCTTCAGAATTGACCGAGAAAAACTCATCTCAGATCTTTTAAAAATTCCTGAGGCTAACGATGCATAGTTCGAAACTCTGTGATTATCACGGGTCTGCTCCTCTTCACCCAACTCATCTCAGATTCATACCAGTATATTTTCAAAATAAATCAAGAAACTCCCTAGGAATTGCATGTCAATCAGACTTTCAATTCCTAGATTCTACGGAAAAAAAAAGGGAAAATGCACAAGTAGCCCCAACCTATGCCCGAAATCTCAGAGACACACTTATACTATACTAAGGTCCTATTACCTCAGAACTTATTTTATAAATAATTTTCTATTCCTTTTTGGCCTACGTGGCACTATCAACCAGACCGCTTTAAAAAATTGTCAACACGCGTTGGGCCCAAAAATATAGTGTCACGTAGGCCGAAAAGAGGTAGAAAATTATTTATAAAATAAGTTCTGAGGTAATAGGACCTTAGTATAGTATAAATTTTTGGGCCCAACGCGTGTTGACAATTTTTTAAAGCGGTCTGGTTGATAGTGCCACGTAGGCCAAAAAGGAATAGAAAATTATTTATAAAATAAGTTCGGGGGTAATAAGACCTTAGTATAGTGTAAGTGTATTTCTGGGATTTCAGGCATAGGTTGGGGCAACTTATGCATTTTCCCAAAAAAAATATGCAATAGAATTCTGCAACACACTTAGATCAGTTGATTAAATTAAACACTAGATGAGAACAACAAAAACCACAGAACCAAAGAGTATCTATCAATGTAAATGTGTGTGTGAAGAGAGATCAAATAAACTCGATAACCTATATCTCTGAAAGGACAATAAACGGGACGGAAGATCAAGAGCTCATAGTCATAATGACACATAAAATTGTAATCGGGACAAACTTCTTCAATCTTCTAGCATTATTCCTACAAATTTGACCCAAAACCATATATATATATATATAGGACAAGAAATTACCTCTGTCATCAATTCAAGGAACTCCCTTGACCACTTTAATTCTATTCAGAACGAGTTCATCTCCAAACAATAAGTCCTCCTCTTAACTAACATCCTTGCAGCCGTCCCATAGGGCTCCTCAAATGCTGCTGCCACCCAATTCCCATCTGGCCCAACCACCTCTTTCTTAGGTTGCTCACTAGGCCTAATTGCTACCAATGTCGCCCCTTTAAGCACTGTCCCATCAGGTAACTCTAAATGTGGGGCGTACCACAACCTCATGTTCAGTGCTGGCACCATTGTCCTTTTCGAGGCTGATGAAGCTGAAAGAGGCTTCACTCTCAACTCCTCCAGCTGCTCCCTGTTCATACACAATACTCCTTGCCCATCAACATCCGTCAAAACCAAACTCTCAAGCTTCTTATGCTCTGCTATAATTGGCTGCAGCAGATAATGCCTTGCAGAAGCTGCTATCAAAGAACTAATCGTCCACACAACACGCAACTTCAAACCCCCATTAGTGTAAAACGACTCAGGTATGCTCCCATTATCTGTTTCTCCATTACCATCACCCAAAATATTACTGTTACTTCCAATTCCACACTGTTCCTCGACTAAATCACCAATACTTACCGGTTGAATCACCGAAGACGCCCCAAGAATAACACAATTATCAAGAGTAGAACCAAAATCAGCTCTCCACTTGAGCAAAGCACCTTCATCAATACCCAATTCCCCACTAGGCAACTCAATCCTAAGCAACTTAATTTCATCAAAATTCTTCAAAACCTGTGTAGGGGAGTGATGGGTAACAGAATTTTGCTCAAAATCATCATCAACAAGAGAGGATGAAGCAGTACATCGCCTTGAAGAAATGGAGATCAACTGAGTAAGGGATTGAAAGGGTTTAACAAGACCAAGGAAAACAAGTCGAAAAAGGGAAGAAATGGGGTGACGTGACTTATCAGAAGAGGCAGCAGAAGATGAAGAAGAAGAAGAAGATGACGACGATGCATCATCATCATCAGAGATAACACAATCAACACGAACAACAACGTTATCAACTTGAGGAACAAGTGAATGAAACCTGCTACAAACTCCACAACATCTTCCTAGAGTTTTAACATCACCGATCTTGTTGAAAATCAAGAGAAGAACTGGATCAGGTAGCTGGTCGAAGTGGTCAACAGGTTCTGGGTAGATCGTTGACCTCAGATCTGACTTGGATGAACCCATATTCAAGAAATTTCTGATAAACTAAAGACTCTTTGTGAGAAGAAGAAGGGAAGAAGGAAGAAGAAGAAACAGAGTTGTTTGTGTGTTACAGAGAGAAAGAGAGTGAAATGAGAGATGGGTAGAGAAGAAACAAGGATACCATGGGAGTTTGGGGATAAAGTCTCTATATTGCTTTTTCCCTTCCTTCAATATATAGCTTAATACATTTTAATACAAGATAATAATACTCCCTCTGATTAAAAAAAAAAAATGTTCTAGTTTGACTTGGAATATACTTTAAGAAAGAAAAAAAAATTAATTTTGTGGTTCTAAATTAAAATTATGTCAAATGTATCAAAATATATTTTTATCTTGTGACATTAAACATGTCATGTGAAAAATTAAAGTTGAAGTGTTGTCAAAAAAGGAAATGGTTCATTCTTTTTTAAACGAAGGGAGTACATAAATTAGATAATAATAAAATTATTTACAACTTTTTTATCAGACATTATGATCTTGAACATGTCAAGTAGAGAAATAATATAGTATAGTATTTGAATTTTTATGCAAATACCAGTTGTTTTGTTTTTGAAAATACTATTATCTCTACTCCATATGTCCATAATTACTTGTCCACTTTTGAATTGACACACCTAATAAGAAAATATTATTGATATAGTGAGTTTATCATTTTACCCCTATTAATTATTAAGTGGATTAATTAAAACTTAAATTTTTTTAAAAGTTCTACCTTTTTCAATGTAATTAATTGAAGGTATAATATGTACTTGTCAAAATGAACAAGTAATTAAGGACAACTAAAAAAGAAAAAAATGGACAAGTAATTAGGGACATATGGAGTATTTTAGAAGGAGTGAATTTGTGAGCTGCACGCATAATTTATATCATAAATACATGTCCACGGTTGAGTTTGCACATTTCTTAAAAAATTATAAATAGAAAGATAATTTTATTATATCACCCTTTGAATATAATAAATAAATTTCTTAAAAAATGTAATAAAGAAATCACTATAATTAATGATAAAAGTAAATTAGGAACTAAGAGTAAAATTATACATCAATTTCATAAAGTGGACAAATATTATCGGACATTCCAAACAGTGTAGTGGACAACTATTGTTACAAAGGGGGAATATTTTTCATTATTATTTTTTGTGAAATCATAAAGGCAAACTATCTCCAAGAAAATATAAAACTTCATTATAGGAAAGGCCAAATATATATAAAAAAAAAATAATCAAACATTCTTCTTGAACTTTGAATAATTTAAATTTTAAACAATGAAAAAGCTCCAAAAATTCAGTAAATATGAAATAGAGAGAGTATTATATTATCATCATACCGAATTAATTTGGTACGTTTTGATATTTATAAGTTTGATTTTGATATTTCACATATGATAAATCAATAATCATAGTTTGGTTGAGCTCGTACATTATATTAGACTAACACCTTATACATTTAGAAATATTTAAAAATATATATATAATATAATTTTCTTTGATTAATCAATTACACAAAAATGACATTTCAATATGATAAAATAATTGACATTTCAAATTCTAAAATTAAGTATAGTTTGACATATGTAGCTTCACTGGAACTCAAAGACACCTTTGTGGATCAAGTGATACTTCGAAAGAAATTAAATCCTCATTTCTTGATTTTAAAAGAATTTTTTTTTATTATGTTTAACCAGTTAGGTGGAAAGAATTTAGAACATACTCAATTCTTGATTTCAATATTATTTTATAAATATCAAATATTGAAATTAATTAGCAATACGTATCATATACCGCAGAATTAAAATTACGATATAAATTTTTTTAATTCTAATATGATATTTCGATATATGTCGTATTATGTCTATTCCTAATGTGAAATAACAAAATTAAAGAACAAATTTATTTTTTTAAAGATGCTACAAAAAGAAAAAATAAAACAAATAAATTGAAATAATGGAGTAATATACTTTTTTTTTGTCCATGCTTTATATATTTAATTAAAGATACGATATATAAGGTATAATATGAGACGTGTGTTTGGTTTTATTTATATAACATATAAATTTGAATATATTTTTATTTTCAATTTTAATACTGATCTTCAAAAAGACTTTGGAAGAAGAGTTTTGGGAAGGATACCTTTTGATATTTGGTCGTTTTAGGTAGAGATTAACTGTTCTAAATTTGTTGTTCCATATCTAATGTGCTACAAAAATAAGTATAACTTATATAAATTCCATAGTGTAAAGAGTAAATTACATTCTATTCCTACACTTTTTCTAATTATAATAATCTCTTAAATTTGTATCTTTTGGGTACATAATTCACCATCCGGATACAATTCTAATACAAGAAGAATCCTTTTTGTTGCGCTAAAAAGGGAATAAAATCTAAAAATCTAATAAATTACGCTTACGTTTCTTCTTACTTTCAATCATACAGAGGCAAATTCAGAACGAAGAAATTCAAAATTTCAAATTGCTCCTCCCTATTTAGCGTGAAGAAACCTTTCAGATTTGATTCAAATTTTTTTGTCAAAATTTTGGGTTAGAGAGGTGAGTTATGAAGGATACAAAAGTGATGAAATTGTTGTTGGACAAACGATTTCCTTTTGAATCATCAAGTTCATCGAAAATCCTTTCAATTTTGATTCAAGTTATTTGGATTTGCTATGTATACCCTCTGTTTTTTAATTTTTTATTCAAGTTTGACTAATAAGAATTTTTTCGAACAATCTGAAGGTCAAGTGCCTATTTCGGGTATATGTGTGTGCATATTGAGCTTGGAATTTTTTTTCTTTGATTATAACTGATATGCCTCAATGCTGAATAATTTGGGATAATGTATTTTAGTTTTTTTCCGTCTATGAGATTTAGAAGAATGGATAGAGATATTATAGCTACTGGAGGAAGGGAAAATGGTCTAAATTTGAGATAGGAGTACGAAGTATTGGGTGTTGTTGGACAAACGATTTCCTTTTGAATCTTCAAGTCATGGAAGATCCTTTCAATTTTGATTCAAGTTGTTTGGATTTGTTATAAATTTGAGATAGGAGTACGAAGTATTGGGTGTTGTTGGACAAACGATTTCCTTTTGAATCTTCAAGTCATGGAAGATCCTTTCAATTTTGATTCAAGTTGTTTGGATTTGTTATAAATTTGAGATAGGAGTACGAAGTATTGGGTGTTGTTGGACAAACGATTTCCTTTTGAATCTTCAAGTCATGGAAGATCCTTTCAATTTTGATTCAAGTTGTTTGGATTTGTTATGTATACCCTCTGTTTTTTAATTTTTTAATTTGTATATTGATATATAAGTCGTGATACATTACTAGTTTGATGTAGATGTAATGTGTTTTTAGATCCCAAAATTATTCTTTCTATTCTCTACTAGATACATTAAATAAGAAATTGTTGCTCATAAGATATTAGGTTTGAGATCGATACATTACTGTTTGGTAATTATTATATATCAGATACATTTAGTATAAATTCGAATTTATGTATCATGCCTAAAAAAATTAGTGCATGATACATTATTATTTATGTAACTTATTTTGTTTGAGAGAAGAATCCATATATATCAGGAATTTATAGATGAAAAGGCTGATACATGATAAATGATACATTTGGTAGAATTTTTGTATCAATTATCAATACTAATTAAAGTTATGTATCAAAACTAACATTTGAACACGATACATTGTGCATGATAGAATTGTAATGTATCATAATATTGAAATGAAAGCAGTATACATTAGTTTTAGAAACAAAATCAACTAAATACATTAAAAATATGAACGTATATATATCAGAAAAGATGATCAACCAAAAAGTCAAAAAAAAGGTCAACAATCTAATCAACGGAAAGCAACAAAGATGTATCATTTTCGGACTAATTGGGTAAGCCCAATACTGAAAGATCGAACCAATGGAATGAAGTGCATCAAAACCGCCACTAGAAATTTCTAGAACAATTTCAAATGCACTCCAAGATGAACTCTATGCATTAGCAATATTTTCCATCCCTCTTCCAGTAAAGAGACCAGGAGTAACAAATTCAATAATTTTTTAAGATGAAAAAACAAATAAAATAAAATAAATGAAAATTGAAGTGATGGAAAGAAATCTACCTCTTGAATAACTTGAAATCATTAATCGGAAAGAGAAAAGATTTGAAATTCAAAAAATGGATTAATGTAAGTAACTGTAGAGAGATTTATGGCTTGAAAAAAAAGGAAAGAAAATCATGAGTATGAGATTTCAAATTAATGTATCCGGAAAAGGGGATGATGGGAGCAAAAGAGGGAATTTTGATAGTTTTTGAAATGATAGGGAAAATAAGAAAATATGATAATAAATGGTGTGTAGTTAGGTAATTTTTCCTAAAAATAATATAAAAACTATCACGTAACTAATTAATCTCTAAATTACTTATATCAAACATAAAACTTTAACCCATCACAAAATAAATAATTTTCTATTTTTATCTCGATATTGTTAACTTGAATAATTTATTTTTGAGCTGAGCATGTAACATAAACAATTTTTCTATCATCATAAATGATAAATCTATTTACATAATTTTTCTAAAATTCACTTATGAGATCATACCGAATATGTTATTATTAATAATACATTCTTAAACCAGACAAACCCTTAAAAGTTGATTAATTTCATATAGAAACAAATTCCTTTTAAACATGGAGAATATATACTTTTATATCAATTAATCGTTTATTAAATAATATAATTTCTCTATTTTAGTATTTGTGATGTTTAAAATTAAATTATTTAGTTTGTTGTGTCAACGTTAAGTTGAGGTAATTAAGTATTTTCGATAAATGACTTGTAGTAAAAATTCACTAATGACATGCAAAATATTTATATATATATATTATTGCTTGCTTTATAGGAGTAATTTGGAAGGAAAAAATGGGGGTTCATGTGGGGACAATGGTTAGTGATAGGTATATTTTCATTGTCTGTTGTATGCCTGCTTTCCACCACAACCCCTCTAAAAAGAAGAAATGTGTGTTTCCTTTTACAACTACTAGCTTCTAATTTTTTTGCCTTTTATAATATTTTCTCAATAAATTGGTAGCATATGATAAAGAGTATGAAAATTTTAAATATATATAGTTTAAAAAGGGAAAATGCATAAGTACCTCC